TTTTTTCTCATCCTGGGATAGTGTACTGAACACATTTCGTCCGTTGACTCCTAACATAGTTCCTGCTTTGGCAATTTCTTGTGAATATTTTTTAATGTGAATAATACTAAATTAATAAGATTTAAAAATTCGTGTTGAATTTTTAAGCAATTAAATGTCTAACAAATCTTTAATACCTTAATAACTATGAAATAGCACTGACTTAAAATGCTAAAAATCTGAAGGAATTAATACATTAATGAAATAACATATTATTTACTGAAAAAGCACTACCTATTTTATTAATTATTAAAACGAAAAAAAAAAAAAAAGAGAAAAAAAAAGAGTTCATGATCAAGGTTTCGAAGTCAGTTCTCCTGGGTGAGAGGCTCCCATGCTACCACTGAGCTAGTGCCACATTCCGACATGTTATGACATCATTTAACAAGTAGTTTTACATATACATCAATGCAGTCGATGTGGAATTATAAAGTTTAAATACTCTACATATAGTACTGTATCTTTAAATTGTTTTGATACTTGCAATAATTTTATTTTCACAAAGTAAATTGAATTCTTCTTATCTACCTTTTAAAAAGACATAAAAACCTCTTAATCACTGTGTTTAAACGACCACAGTTGTTTTTTGTTGTTGTTGTTGTTGTTTTTTGTGAGGGCGAAATAACCGGACCCAGATCAAGTATTCAGAAATAAAATAGCTTGAACAGCATAACTTCTTTCAATGAATCAATAAAATTACATAACAACACCTTGCTTATTCTAAGAATGAAATATTTAAGGCATAAGTAGAATTTCAGCATTTATTTATAAGCGTTTACATATAGGCCTAATTTTGTTTAACCTGCCAGTTTTGTTTACAACCGTTACAGTGGAAACCATCGAACTCGTACCAAAACATAATCGTTCTTATTTTAGTGAAAGTGCCTTAAATTTACTAGAAATGATTTTCCTGCAAACATTTATTAAAATATATGTTATGAATCATATTTCAACAACTTAGAATAAAAATTAATAATGTTGAGTTCAATATACATGTTCTATGATATTTGCATTAACTGAAATTAATGCCAGAAAATGACGTTTAGATATTAGATAAAAATCTTATTTTGGAATAGAGCACAGGCAAGCCCCAACTTTATATTGATATAGTTGAAGCCTTTGATACATTACAACACAATACTGTAATGATTTTGTTGGGGCTGGACTGTGCTGATACTTTAATTTTCGTTTAAAACAGCAAAAATACGTGAATTTTCCTAATTTTGCTGGAAATAGGGGTATTTCCATAGAACATAAATCATACTAAATGTAAACATATGTCTATAAATTCATATTTTTTTAACAGTTTAAGGATTGAACTTATAAATAAAACCAAAAACAAGAACTTTTCATCAAATTATTTTTTGCCAAAATCTTGGGCAAAAATCCATGGTTAGTGAACCTAGCTCTTTGTCAAGTTGGCAGCCTAGTAGCATTAAGAAAAGGGAAGAATAGTTCAAACTCGATGATAATATAAAATCTGAAATAAAAATTTATCAGTCCAATATCAAAACAATTACTCAATATCATGAAGTAAGATTTCAAAATGAAAAGCATATGAAAGATATACGACACATCACATAAGAGGACCAAGAGGTCATTTTATTGACATAAACTCTAGTTTTTTTTATAGAAGATGTATGAGGGGATTATCTAGATGTACATATACACTAGTTGTTATGGAACATATATGAGGAATCACCTTAAATGTATAAACACTCTTATAGAACATGTATTAGGGGATTAGGTTTGATCGCTCTGAAAAAGAAATATTCTCCTAGATTAATTATGTAATTAAAGTTATGAACAACTCGTACATCATCCTGAATGAATCATTCATACATATTATTGAACAAAAAAGAGCATGATCCTCTGGTCATCTAACGTGATCCCCTAAATAAGTTCAATGTGAACTAAAATATATGAACTGGAACTCCGCCAGCCGGATGTGTTGCCTTATGAACAGTATAGTTGTCGGCATTTTCCTCTTAAATATAGGTTTAATAACTAACACCGCTAAAGGGCAGAGTACCAGTTCTACGTCTCTACTTCTTCGTAATGAAACCTATCATCCTACGAAGTTTCTAGTCCAGCTTTTAAATGTCATGTGAAATTTCTCTAACAAAAATAAAGTATGAAATTAACAAAGGGTAATAACTTAAAAAGTAAGAAGTGCAGAGTACCGGTTCTTGTGCAATGTACGTTATATTAATAATATCTATCATCCTTTGAAGTTTCAAGTCCATGGCTTTTAAAGTTAAGTAGAAATAGCCCGGGCAAAATAAAAGTATGACAATTAACAAAAGGGCAATAACTTTAAAATCAAAGAAGTGCAGAGTACCGGTTCTTGTGCACTGCACTTTGGGTAATTGAAAGAAGCATGCATACCAAGGTTTGAGTCAATCCAATTTATAGTGACTGAGTTATGCTCTGACAAGCCTAAGGGGACGAAGAATACAACGACGCCGCCGACAAAAATAATACCTACATGTCGCATTTTTAAGGCGACACAACAACCTTGCGATCCCTACAGAGTCTTCCATGAACCCCTCTTTCATAATTCGTAAATGAATAGAGCATGTGCATCTATCTACCCCCGGGTTATCGTGCCTGATTCCCTTATACATGCTATTTAAGCTTTGTGTGTGTGTACATTTAGATGATCCGCTAGAAGCTTACGTGATTTATTTTTCCATGTTTGAACAGAACTAAAGAATTATATATGTACATTTAAACCTAGTCGTCAGTTATGTGATTCCCTCATAACACTAGAGTATATAAAAAATTGCATGATTATTCTGTCATATTAAGTGATTCCTTCATACGTGTCCCATAATAAATAAAGTTTTTGAACATCTGGAAGATTCCCTGGTCATCTGTACACAAATAAAAAGAGTAAATGTATATCTATATGATCCCCTGGTCATCTAACATGATGGCCTGATGCATGTTAATAAAAAAGAAGTATTTACATTAAGAGGACTCCTAGTCCGCTTACGTGATTCTCTTATACAAGTTCAACAATAAATATAATAATTATATGTATATCAACTTTATCACATGGCCGTGTTTTGTAATCCCCTTTTGCATGTACCATAATGAAAAAAAATATATATATTCATCTTCTACATGCCCAATAAGAACTATAGTCTGTCCCATCAAATTTGAACATTCCATTTTTTATTTAATATAATAGTAAAATCATTTAAATTAATGTCATGTTAACCTTGACGTCAATATCTCTAGGCATGTTTTTCATTTTTTTCATAAAGTCAGTAATATAGTCAAAATGTTAAAATTATATTTTTTCACGTTGACTTACGTTGTAACCTGACGTGACATCCATTTCAAAATGGCGGCGCCCATATAGGGTTCGTCTCACAATTAGCGTGAAATGTACTCGGTAATTTAAAAAAAATATGTTATTATTTACTTCCTGATCAATAGTTAAATGTTCTCATTAAATTGAAAAATGACAACAAAGTTGGTGTCAAAAAGGCAATTTTACTAGCAAACCATTATTTAAAATAATCAAAATCATTTGAAGTGAAAATATCAGTAAGCTTTATAAATTCTTACACACAAAGATTTAATTAATTACCATGATATACTGTCGTAATTTATATTTTTAAGAGAAAAAAGAACAATGAAGTGATTTGATTAGATAGCTTTTCAATCAAGCGCGTATCTTGAATACCGCAACGCGTCGTAGGGGAGCGGGAACACTAGCTAGGAGACTATAAAAATGGTTCTTTGCTATTTAATGTTTAATTTACATAATTCTGTAGTTGTCTGAATTCTGTTCATAAGTGTGTACTGAAACGTACCCGGGGTCTGCTAGCCCGGACACACTTCAATATCGACACGTGGGTTCTTCTCAAACACACGTAAATGGATAAGGGAAATTAGGGACACAAGGACTAAAAGATACGGACGCCTGAAATAAGATTAACACAACAATTTATTAAATATACATTTCACAAACAATAAAATTCGTATATAGTATATTCTGTGGATGGCTCTGGCTTGGGCTCCTCGTCTTAGGTCAGGAATATTCTTCTGTTACGTCTAGAATAATGTATAATATAAGATGTAATGTAAGGCTTGACAAATACGGTGTCACGTCTTGCCTGTGGTCTGGAACAAATTCTATGGTAGGAATTACCATGAAATGCTATAAGGTTGATGGGGTATCTAAAAAAAATGGTAACTACAAAATACAAGTGGTGTTCTACCCTGGTATATATGGGTATCACTATAAAATATGGGATTATGGCTATGGAAAAACTTGGTCTTTAGTCAGGATCTATCATAAATGGAGAATAATGCCAAACTGCCAAAACTAGATGATAAAATATAAAGCTTCTATATAAACTATTACTGGCATAAAAGTATTAATATACCTTTCTGGTGTCTGGAGATACATCCATATTCAATATAAGTATAGATGTGGTTGGTGGCTATCTACCAAGGTACTGACAATTTTGGCAGATTCGGGCTGCTATTTATAGGTCTCGGACGCTGGGTGGCTAGTTGGCTAGGGTGCCTAGCTTGGCAGTATCGTCATCGTCTCCGATGACGTCACTGCCTGGCTCGCGCGGGCAGAAATTTAGCCAGTGCCAGCTGCCATGTTTAAATTGGCAGCGTGTGGCTAATTGATCATTAAAACGAGCTACAACGTAGAAAATAAGTTATTTTAAGTAATATAACCATCGTAAATATTAAAAGGATGAAGTTATCTGTACATGCAGTGTATGTTTTGAGGATTAAAAGTTGATGTCATGAAATACAGTTAATTACTTTAGTACTTGAGTAGTTTCCGGATACGGGTTTATTTTTGGACGTAAAATGATGGGCTGGATCGTTACATTGCACCCCGCTCACATGGATTCAGCCCCCTGAATAGTAGGACGGTAAGTATATTTACAGTCGGAAGGTTTTATCATTTTACCTAAAATAATGTCATTGGTAACACGACATAATGAAATAATTATATTATCGGGTAATTATCATTTGATAATTGGTTGTAATTTACACTAATTTGACAGAGGAGTTAAATTAGTCTAACTTTATTATTGTCAAACTTAGTATGTAACAGTTTAAGTCATAGACACATCATATTAATGCATATATTAATTATTATACATGCATAGTAATAATTAAAATTTGCTAAATATTTGCAAATTTTCCATGTAGGAACATTCATGTATGTATTGTCGGAATTGACAAAGTAATTTATGGATGTTGTATATTACAACTTCAATTATATGGCATAAACAAATTAATCATATAAAGGGTCATGTATACAGGTTTCATTCACGCGGCACAGTCAAACATTAAAATATCGCATTCAGATATAGAGCTCTATTATTACATTCATAATTAAGTACATGTATTTTATATTTACAGTGAATAGAGAGCTTGGTGTATTGGTTAGTTGGTCACCTGGAGAAGCGGTTATTACCAACTGCTCATCTAAACAGAAGTATACTTCATTACATCCTCAGCCTAAAATACACTCCTTACAGTGGGACACTGCACAATCATGGCTGGTATATTTAATAATATTCATAATAAATTAACACTTGGCTAATTTAAGCACATAGGCCGGCAAGTCATATAGACAATATATCATCATAGTAATTAAATATCATAACATATATGGCCAATATTTGGTACCCCCCAAGGTATACCAATAATAAAACTTCACTCTTTGATTTCAAAGGTGGCATCACTTCTTTATAAGTGGAATGCAAAACATTGCACTGTTTTGGTTAATCATTTAAAATTTCAATGTCATCACTCTAAATGGTAATTAGCTGTCCATTAAATAACTTTTAGGTCATAATGTTTCAGGCTAATTTGATGGTAATGGTATTATGTCTCTTATTCTATTTGATTTCTTCATTTAGAGTAACGTTCTCCAGGTTCAAGTTTTGTTATTCTCCAGGTTTGTCATATTACGGGAAAAAGGACCACTCTGATGTGCAAGCAGAGGAACGATGGTGTCCACCTGAAGTCAATATTTTTGAACAACAGGGAGCGGGTTAAAGTGTCCACCAGATGAACAGACAGTTGAGTAAACAGCTGTTCAAATGGGAGCAGGAAGGGGGTCCACCTGAAACTCATCAATGTAAAGGGTTGATTTGTAACAAGGAGCGGTGTATTTGGAATTCCATGTCTTCATTTTTGTTGATAGTCATCAGCTGGATTGGTAAGAATAGGTATACATAATTTATTTAAATATCACTTTCATTTAGGATCATATATTATAGAATAACAACAACAACTAGTTGGTTTAAACTTCCTCTTATTATTAGTTTCTATTAATTGACTCTAATGATTTGCAAATAGTATCAAGTTTAAGGTCTTTTCTTTCCTGTTCTGGGTCAGTGACTGATGCAACTAATTTATTTCTTTGTTTATCTGCTGTACGGAAAGCCTCTAATCTAATAGCTGCTTGTTCGGCTTCTAATAGGGTTTTTGGTGATATTTCCTTTAGTCTTAATCTAATCTCTGAGTCTGTAATGGCATCAATAAAATGATCTAAGGCTATTGCCTCAATTACTTCTTTAGAAGCACTGGCATAAGTGTTTCTGGTCAGTCTGTATATATCTTGTGACAATTGAGAAATTGTCTCCCATTTTTGTTTTACTCTGGTTTTAAGTTTGGCTTTAAAAATGTCTGTTCTATTGGCTGGACCATAACTATGGTTAAGTAGGTCAACTAGCAGTTTATAGTCACAATGGTCTCTAGTATCGATTTCAGTCAACATAGATCGGACATCACCCTTTAAACAACTAGCTAGGCATAATCCTTTGGATCTAATGTTCCAATTATTTAAATCACTACAAATTTGGAAAGATATTAAAAATTCATTCAAGTCGTCGGTACCATCAAAAGTTGGGGGTTTCACTTTGATAGTGTTTGTATTTGACATTCTATATGAAGAGGTCTGGTCATCATAAGATAAATTACTACTAGGTATGTCAGTAGAATTTGAATTTCTATTTTCAAATATATCTTGTCTTCTTTCTAGGTTTTTAAGTCTCTGGTCTACAGCTTCTCCCATTGAAGTGAGAGCATTTTTCATTTGTGTAGCAATCTCAAGCATTTTAGCTTCAGATTGGCTAATATTGTCTTGTGCCAAAGAGGCTGGTCTTGAATAGTCTGAGTCTTGAGATAAAGAATCATCTCTATCTGTATTTGTATGGTCTACATGGACATCAATGTCCATATCAATTTGATTTTGTGCCATCTGGTAACGAATAGCAATATCAAGGTTGGTAATAATTATTCTATGTACTATTTATAATAAAAATAATAAAACTAGGTATAATGTATAATGTCTATTCCTTTCTGCTTTCAGGTTGGCCAGACAAGAATGCAGTCAGCAATGGGCATTCAAATAAGGCTATAATCATGCATCCAACCAACAAGTAAACTTGTTTGATTGAATGGTCAGCACCTTGGAAGATCAAAAATCTGGATCAGCAAATGAAATGAACTTTGATACATAAATAATAAAATGTTCTGTCTCTTGGTCTCCTGGTTATTTCCCTGTAATGGTAAAGCAGACAACTGATTAATGGTTGATGATGGATCAATCTGGAAAATTATATAAATCTCATAAAATCATTGGAATCCCACTTCTGACACCAGTTGAAACGTACCCGGGGTCTGCTAGCCCGGACACACTTCAATATCGACACGTGGGTTCTTCTCAAACACACGTAAATGGATAAAGGAAATTAGGGACACAAGGACTAAAAGATACGGACGCCTGAAATAAGATTAACACAACAATTTATTAAATATACATTTCACAAACAATAAAATTCGTATATAGTATATTCTGTGGATGGCTCTGGCTTGGGCTCCTCGTCTTAGGTCAAGAATATTCTTCTGTTACGTCTAGAATAATGTATAATATAAGATGTAATGTAAGGCTTGACAAATACGGTGTCACGTCTTGCCTGTGGTCTGGTACAAATTCTATGGTAGGAATTACCATGAAATGCTATAAGGTTAATGGGGTATCTAAAATGGTAACTACAATATACAGTGGTGTTCTACCCTGGTATATGGGTATCACTATAAAATATGGGATTATGGCTATGGAAACTTGGTCTTTAGTCAGGATCTATCATAAATGGAGAATAATGCCAAACTGCCAAACTAGATGATAAAATATAAAGCTTCTATATAAACTATTACTGGCATGAAGTATTATATACCTTTCTGGTGTCTGGAGATACATCCATATTCAATATAGTATAGATGTGGTCTGGTGGCTATCTACCAAGGTACTGACAATTTTGGCAGATTCGGGCTGCTATTTATAGTCTCGGACGCTGGGTGGCTAGCTTGGCTAGGGTGCCTAGCTTGGCAGTATCGTCATCGTCTCCGATGACGTCACTGCCTGGCTCGCGCGGGCAGAAATTTAGCCAGTGCCAGTTGCCATGTTTAAATTGGCAGCGTGTAGCTAATTGATCATTAAAACGGCTACAACGTAGAAAATAAGTTATTTTAAGTAATATAACCATCGTAAATATTAAAAGGATGAAGTTATCTGTACATGCAGTGTATGTTTTGAGGATTAAAAGTTGATGTCATGAAATACAGTTAATTACTTTAGTACTTGAGTAGTTTCCGGATACGGGTTTATTTTCGGACGTAAAATGATGGGCTGGATCGTTACAGTACCACGTCTATTCGAAAGTAAATAAATTGACCTGGTTCGACGGGATACAAAAATATGTTACCCTTCTTATTTCGTGTGCGATGTTCGTGCGCTAACGAGAGAACACAGACTCGCGTTCAAGGAAAATGTACATTATAAGAATATAATATATATTGCTTTCTAGTTTAAGCAATCACTTTAAGTTCGTAAATACAGATTTAACCTTCCGTCTCACAATTCAACAAAATGTCCAGAAATACCGGCAGTGATTTCAAATTATTAAGAGTAAGTTTGAGTTGGCGACAATACGTGTTTTTTTTGTAGACTCTAAGTGTTACATACAATAATTTTGTTAATATGAAGGGTAGATCGAGTCAAAGAGAAACAGCGAGTGACGTTCTCAATAGTTTTAGCCTTCCTAAAATTTGAAAATATTCAGTGAAAAAAAAAAAACAATAGATCTAGCATATTTTTCGCGGGAGAAAAAATACCGCGTATTGTATATTTTGTAGCTAAAAGAGTAGGATTTTCAGAAGTCTTGAACAACGAGGTAATATGTAGGGAAATTATTTCTGAGAAATATATAAAATAGTTTAAAAATATAAAATCAAAACGAATGTTATATGTAATTAATGGAAGAAGTATTGCACTGTTGTAGATTCATGTCATTAAGTTTGTTTAAAATTATTTTTAAATAGTATCAAAAGTTTTATATTATTAATATGAATTGAAGGTGTAATTTTTACAGTTAAGTTGCAAAATCTGGGTATACAAAAATTATTTTAAATGCCATCAAGGCAAGTTTATCTCAACGCTTAAAATTATCTGTTTGAGGTTACATATGCCTAACCGCCCTCTGTCAATGCCGCAACTGGAATCATCCATATAAAGCGCGAGGCATTTTTGTTACGTCATATATTTCGTAAATTGTTGTTGACGTAATAAAGTTTTTTTGTCAGGAAACCATAAACATTGTGATGTTGACAACTAAAATTGATGGGCCGTTCTTGAATTATGGATTTGGAACATGCTGAATTATGATGTGTTTCATTTACATATTTCATTTGCTAACCCAGATAAATCCACAATTGAACAATGTTTTAATAATGAAACGGATTATCTGTTTAAAAAATCTGGATCATCAAAAGTGTAGATGTCATGTCATTCAGGATTTTTGAAGCAAAAAAAGTGGGATCTACGGAACTGGATAGAAACTGGCAATGAAGGAATCTTCAAAATGCGAATTTGTAGTGACGTTTATAAAGTTCATATAGTAGGGATTTTATTCATCTTAAAAGTAAGTGCAATTTCTAGATCTTCTCTATGTGACTCGGTGTTCTTGTTGCTTATTTTTGATTTTTTAAAGTTTTCCATCATGCATTGCATCTTAACTGTTACATCTTGTAGATCCAACTTTGTAAAATAATCGTGAAACGACCCCGAGAACCTCATGTATATTTTTAGAAGGATTTAGCTCAATACAGGATTGGAGCAGAACCTCTAGACGCTTGCAGAAATCATGATCACAAAATAGACAAATATCGTTTTTATCGCCGAATTTTACATTTTTCCTTGATTATCGTACTTGATTCGGTGTGAAAAGATGATTTAGACCTGTTTAAGTTCATTCCGTTGGGTACAAAGACAAGATTTTAGCATTTTATCATTCAAGCGCCTTGTCCGGTATATACCGGAGTACGGTATTTAGTGTGGTGCTCCAATCCTTTTTTTAGTCACAGCCATTTTAGAAACATGGCACGTGCTTTTCCCGTTCATCTTCAAATGAAGAGTACTTCGGCAATGGCTACGGAAATTAAACAACAGAGATTTACCATAGAGAAATCAAAATTTGCTTTCACAAGAAAAGTAGACACTTTAGCGTAAAATCCTGAAAAATCTCGAGGGTGACTTTTTTTTAGTTTACAAAAATGTTTTATTATTAATTCAACGTCGTTGTGTTAATTCATACCAGGCAAAAGTTCATTTCCACTTTTAATGGGACAGACTATAGAGTATGCTTATAAAGATGAATACTTGAACATTATTTATAATCACTTAATATATGTTCTAGAAGAACGAGAGAAAATGTATATAAAGATGATAAAACTGTCAGCTTTCAAGATCCCCTAATAGCATAAATTTTCGTGGGTCACTAATTTCTGTGGTTTTCGTAGATAGATGTACATATTTTACGCGCTCGCCTCATACAAGTTCCATAGGACATATGTTTATCTAGACACCCTGTCATTAAACTTGACCCCAATAAATCTCTTCCGTGACAAAACTAATTTATATGTATATCTAATTGATCCCTTGATCGTCTTACGTAATCGAATAATACATGTGCAACAATAAACAGAGTATATGTCATTAGCATGATCCTCGTTTAGTCTTATGTGATCACCTTATACATGTTCGATAATAAACAGAGTATAGTTACATCTAAATGACTCCCGGTAATCTTATGCGATCCCTCATACATGATCCATGACCAATAGAGTATAATTATGTACATCTCAATAATCCCCTGGTCCCCTTACATGATCCCGTTATACATATCCCATAACAAATTGATTATAATTATGTTCATCAACATGAACCCCTGGTTGATTTGCGGGTATATATACATTTAGATAATATCCTGGTCATCTCCCATGATACCCTCATACCTTTTTCATAATGAATAGAGTATATGTACATATATGTCATACCCTAATGTATATTCCATAAGAACAAGAGTGTGTTAATTTACATAAAACCTTTGTCATTATTTAGGATCGCACACATATTTTATAATATGAAAAAGGCAAAGCCTCAAAGCGAGCTCGATGTACTTTTAGCATGAAATAACATGAAATAATCGCTCATTTTTATTTCAAATGCAGTGACGAGTGCGTGTGACGTTACACGTACTGTGTTAAATATGGCTCCGCCCCTGTCGTTAAATGAATAACGAGTTTTGAAAACGTTGATAAAACTTTGTTTATTATATTTCACTCTAGATCTAGAATTTTTCAAGCGAAATAAAGATTGTTAAAAGTGAAATAAATGTAAAATATGATAAACAAGATCAACAAGGAAAGGCGGCGTTCAATGAACTTAAAACGTTTGCGACATTAAAATAGCGTACTTGATTTGTTTGTTTTGCACGTGCTGTTTGGCGCTACATTGTGACGTCATGTAAACAATACTTTAAACGTCTGTACAGCGTTAACGACTGAATAAAAGATATTGGTGTTCGGACTCATTTTCTTAGTTAGACCATTTTCTTTCATTCTAGATATTTTTCACAACAAAATTCGACAAAAAAATTGTTTTAATTTATCAGATTTTTCAAACAAAATGGCGCCTTCAATTTTCATTTCCGTTCGATATTTTATCGGCAGCTTCCGTTATTCTGGTTCCCTGTCCAATTATGGTTCCCATAGACGTGCGCGGGTGACCAGTCTACACATCCGTTTTCAGTCAGAATTCCTCAGTTTTTATCGTTATCTTTAAATTCGAAAAGTTGCGATGTGTCCAATTCGGTACTTCGGACGAAAGTTTTCAAAACCATTAGCAGGTACTCGCGTTACCGTAAGGCTCGCTTTGCGAGCAGGCCCTTCGGGCCAGCTCGTCGAGCTCGCTATAAGAATTACAGTACATGTACATTAAGATAATGTAGATGATCCGATTGTCAGCTTACATGATCCCCTCATATTAATTCTATCAAAACAAGAGCACATGATTTTAATTATGATCTTTTGGCATTTTAAGTAATAACTAGAGTTTTAAAGGCGACACTTACTACGACGTCGGCTTCGACTGTTGTGACTACGAATAACATTTCAACTACTACGGCAAAAATGACAACGATAACGACTTCGACTTACGATAACTAATATAACTACAACAACTCCGGCATAACGACAAAGTGAACTTGAACTTTGACCTACTGACCTATAAAACATTAACTGTGTACATTGTCAACTTATAAGTACGTACAAGTTACAACTAAACGTAAGCTATATACGTCGTTAGATGTATACGGTATCGTCTGGTATGTTTGATTCTTACAATTATGTACTAATTGCGAAAAGGGATTAAAACTAAAGTGACAATAAACTTACTTTGTTTACTTTCTTCATATTTTGATTCTGCCTCTGCTTTGTCATCTACATTAAAACATTCAAATAAATTGAACTAATCTTTTGCAAACATGTATCACAAATAAATGAAAGGACTGTTGTCTGCATTTAATTAAATCCGATTTCGTCAGATTGAATTATAAAATTAAAAATAATGTGACAGATTATATGAACACTAAATTATAATCATAAAAAGAAGTAAATATTGTTCTATAAAATTCATTATAAATATCACGACTCTAACATGCATTTGAAGTATTAGCTTGAAAACTCCATAACTTTTCACTTTTCGAGAAGATTGAGATAATACAATCATTGGTTTTATAATAATTTAAAAAAAAAATCCATTATTTATCGCTGTATTTTAAGCTTTTTCATGATATGATTATTTTCAGGTTTTAAATTGCACGTACAAAATATCAAACATTTTGAAATCAACTCAAATTGAGATTTACCTTTTCTAGTTTCTTCCTTTAACTTTAATTCTTGTATTTGTAGAGCATGGTCATGTATTTGTTTATCATGTTCACACGTTTTCTTGTTTAATTCACCAATACTCTGTGTTTGCTTTCTCGTGATTTGATCTTGCAATTTCAGAGTACATTTTATTTTCTCGTCCTCCATTTTCAACAGTTTTAATTCAGCCTCTACACCCGTTTCTAACTTATGCCAACTGTCTATGGCTTTCTGAATCCTTTTCTCCGCCTGTGGATCAAGTGGTTTCACTTTAAAGTCATCAATCATCATTTGAAGGTCTGGTATGGGAGACACCGCCGTATTTAGCCTCAAAAGAACCTGGAAAAAGACACGCTTAACACCATTAATTTCGTCCAGAGTTCATGTAATATTAGATACCAAAACATAAACTTACATATTGAAAAATAAATAGCAAATGTATGTTCTTACACATCTGTTATTATTATATTCACAACTTTTTAATACTTCCAGATACACAGTAAGAAAAGTTCAATTAGAGAATAATATCGATACTTAGAATTAGACACAACTGTGCAGCCTTTCCATGGAAAAGATACAGTAATATGTTTTGTAGGTGTGCAATACGATTAAGCAATGAAAACGACAAGAACATTAACTATTGACCCGGAACCTATAGTATGTTTCTACTAGTTCCTTATCAGGAAGAATAGCAGAACGTTATCTAATGGTTCAATGTGAATGCTAAAGCTTATGTCACATAACTGCTCCGAAGCGCCGATTGTGGGGTACTGAATATCAGGATTTAATTCCGGAAATTAAATACGTCTGTTGAGCAGGGCATCGGCCTCTTAAATAGCGTTTTTTTCGGTGAGGTGCCAGCCAGTCTCCTTTTCTGCTATTTTTTCCGGCTATCGACCGACTTTGTAGGCATCGCTGAAGTTTGAGATTTTTTCTGACCCTTTCTACGCCAAAGGTTTTTGTTTTTTTTGTTTGTTTCTATTTTGGCAACAATATGCCGGCATATCAAAGTTTTATCACCGACTGTTCGGTGACTCAAGTGTTGCCCAAACGCCGATCAAATGAAATAGCCGTCGCCGGATTACGCCTTGATGTGACCGATAGTCAAACACCCCCCCCCCCCCACACAGACACATAAACACAAACACGTCGTTTAGTGGCAATTTCCCACCGATGACAAAAACATTTTGGTGTCTCCCATTTTTTTACACTCCCTTAATGAATGTCCAGGTGAAAACTATCGTAAATGCAATCGTTGTAAAAATGTAAAAATAATTGATCTTAGTTCCACAATTAAAGATTAATATGATATTATAAAAAAGTGTATATGTGTGGAGTGCTATACTAGTAAACATGGTTTACAGTAAGTTATTTGTAACATAAAAGGTCAGTCTAACCTGTTCGATCTCCGTCCACTTTATTGTGAAAATATACAGCGTTATTCCACTTGTTGAAGATATATGACTGAGCTAAAGAACGAGTGAAAAATTAATGTTTAAGGCTACTGCATCATAGGCTTATACATTTAACATAAATGTTGAAACCCATTCGTCGCAATATAAGATATAATAGATTTATCATGAATTTTCTTACCTTAAATCATTAACTAACAATATTAGAAATTATGTATAGATATGGATTTCGTAAAATAGATAAACTTCAATAATTTAAAAGCTATGTCAACAAAACCCTTAAAATACCTAATATGTGTGTATCACAAACACGTTAACAATATACGAAGTCATCTGAATTGTACGAGGGGTCGTGGTTCCCGAGTATAAATCAGATTGCTGAGTGTTTTCATGTTCTTTCTCTCTCTTTTGTATCATACTATAGTAGGCAAAAATAAAAACTCTTTACCTCATTTCTATATATTTTCAGACGAGATATATCAGCCTCAAGTGAGGCATCACCTTGGGCAGGAATTGAGTTCCATTGAAAGTGCTTGTTCAGACCGAATGACTTGATGTTTCTGAGGAGACATATGATTAATGTGATGTCTAGGTCTGTTGTAGTTGGACCGATGCCAAGTGATGGAAACAGTAGATCATATTGTACCTGTGTAATTATTCCGCGCGTTCTTAGTTTGTTTATTGTTGACCTTTCCTGTTGTAAAAATGCGCTAAGAGATACATTTTTAAGTTTCGTATCTAAAATATTTCTTAGTATTCGTAGTCCACCGTCTATAATCAGCATTTGAAGACGCAACAGACGGCAACGATTCTGCTGCGTCATTGAAGACGTTGCTTGACCTTTACTGGCGGTTGCCATTTTTCGTTTCTTATCCAATCATCAATTCTGTAATAACATAAACAAACCAGGAAACATAGAATCAACACGATTTGTGATTTTGTCACTTTGCATGAGGAATACATCAACCAGCGTTAAACCAGCGTTTAACTGTAAATAAGTACTAATAGTTCTTTCTCAGATGGAAAAGACAAACAAAGGCAACACTAATAAAAAATGTTTTGATACATTCCGTTCTTATGTTTCTTTTAATATAATCGTATAATTACATCTCGATGGACATTCCAATTGTGATACTAGTTTCTATTGTAATTGCAAAGAAAACAGCGGCGGTAATATATTCCGCTTAATGAGAGCGTAAGTGATTAATTTAGCCTTGTTTAAACTGAAAAATGTCGGTCCGAGCGGTGTTGATCGGCCTTTGTTGTCATTTTCTATACATCAAAACTCCTAAACCTGGTGTAAGATAGCCGATAAATAACGTTCAGACAGATATTATTATGGAATGCATTCAGAATGTGTGAATGGGCAAAAGTAAGATTTCGAACGTTCCGTTCTTTATTCATTTTAAAAAGGAAATGGTCATTCGTGGGGAGCTTTGGTAAAAAATAACGAACTGGCGAATTTTGCACGAAATGAAATGCAAACATGTTCAACAATAAATTGAACTCTTCGTAAATCTATCTAAAATTTATTATTTATAAACATAAACGTCGGCCATTTTTTTATGAATTGTTATGTCAATTTCCATGGTGCTAGCTAACATTATAAATTTAACGCTTAGTAACCAACCGTTAATTTAGTTTGTACCTGGAATATTCTCAAATACCTTCTACGATTGCACCACAAATGTCTCATACATATGTAAATACGGTGTCACGTTATTACAGGCTGCAAAATACGATTAAATACTTAATGATTATCGACGACAGTAATCATACTGACATGTTTCAAACGCTATAATATGCTAAATGTCATCCTAACATTGAAATGTATATGTTTTATTATGTTTATTTTGCTTACACCCGTAATTTTAAAACAACATGCTTATCATCCGGTCAGATGTATGTTTCTAATTTAATTTGCAAATTGATGGGTAAGTTGTGAATACCTTCTGGCACAGCAACATAAAGCAACACAATAAAACTCCGTTGAAAGTACAAATGTATTTATATAATGTGTTTGTAGCTTGTAGACTTATTGAAAATATTTATATAACTCACGTTGTATCTAATAAGCATAAAACAGCCTTAACATTATCCATACAAATTTTAAAACGAACACACACAATCTAAAACTGTTTATTACGGTGTCCTTATCGTGCCATTTAGAATGTCGTCCGTCGCATCTAAGGGTAGACACACGACAATGCGAAGTGACATCGCGACAATGCGAAGCGACGCTCGACAACGCGAAGCGATATGCGACAATGCGAAGCGACGCTCGACAGTGTCAAACGATATGTCGCACTGTCGCCTAGAAATGTCGCGGTAAAAAAGGGCGACATTTAAGAAATGTCGCTTCGCGTTGTCGAGTGTCGCTTCGCATTGTCGAGCGTCGCTTCGCGTTGTCGCGATGTCACTTCGCGTTGTCGCGATGTCACTTCGCGTTGTCGCATTGTCACTTCGCATTGTCGAGTGTCGAGGTTGGTAGAAGTGCATACCACGACACTCGACAATGCGAAACGACAACGCGACAATGCGATACGACGCTCGACAATGCGAAGTGACACTCGACATCGCGAAGCGACATTTTTAAAATGTCGAGTAAATGTCGCGTTATTTTTATGATTTTTTACACCGCGACGCTCAACATTGCGAAGCGACACTCGACAATGCGAAGCGACACTCGACAACGCGAAGCGATACTCGACAACGCGAAGCGACACTCGACAATGCGAAGCGACATTTGGAATAATATCGTATCGCATTGTCGTGCGTCTACCGGTGCTTGGTCAGAATTTACTAACTCACCGACAAACGGTGCGATCATGGAAGGGGTCGCACTAAACTGCTGACGAATTAGCTGACGATATAGAATATATAGGAAACTGCTGACCAGTTAAACAAAGAAGGATTATCGAAAACTGCTGACCAGTTAGATAAAGAAGGGAAAACAATGAAGGTGTCAAATTGCCGTTGGTGATATTACAGGCGAGGTCGAGAAATACTTGATAAAATGTTTTTTCAAGATGTCAATATTACAAATGATACATATTAATTATAAAAAATTCAATTGATATATACTGTATATTTCTCAATTTATTTTGATATAATATTTTATTTAAGTACCTTAATGAATTTTCTTCTATGTGTTATATATTGGTTAAAATTTTAAAAATGTAGTCAAAATATGATGTACGAAAAATCATAATTTGTTTCAAGTATGTATAAAACTATGCATCATAGGTTAAAATATATACATGTACATATACGTAATGTATATTTTAACAAAATATAATTATTATGTCGTATTTAGTGCAAATATGAAATAAAATGATTTCTGTTTCCTTATTTGTTGTTCGTATAATTGTATAAGTAATATTGAACAAAAATTAATAATGTGCTAATTGTTATAGTTAATAAGCTTTTATTACATTATAAACAACATGTTTCCACAGATATCCATTAAACTGATAATTTATGAGATCGATATGCCCCAAGGTCATATTAAAATCGATTTCACACGCGACGTGTCATTCTTGATTTATCTATGACAAAATACAATAAACAGTCAAAAATATGTTATTAAAATGCTGACCATATTGTAGAATCTGCTGAAAAGTTAGATATATAGAGAAAAATATATTTAAATGCTACGAAATTGTTACTCATTATGCAATTTTAATATATTTTATAAAACAATGTCGACATTTAATTAAGTAAAAACACTGCTGACCAATTTAATTTTAATTCAAATTGATTTAAGCCGTAAAACTCTCTTATTCTATATGGTCAGCAAATTTAACGCTCTTTACATTCAGGCGAGAAAATGCTGACCAGTTAAACATATAGTAGAATCTGCTGACCAGTTAGATATATAGGGAAACTGCTGACCAGTTAGATATATAGAGAAAAATATATTTTGCCGTGAAATTGTAATTCATTTTATAATGTATGCAAATTCAATATATTTTATAAAATTATGTCGACATTTAATTAAGTAAAAACACTGCTGACCAATTTAATATTATTTCAAATTGATTTAAGCCGTAAAAGTCTTCTTATTCTATATGGTCAGCAAATTTAACGCTCTTTACATTCAGGCGAGAAAATGCTGACCAGTTAAACATATAGTAGAATCTGCTGACCAGTTAGATATATAGGGAAACTGCTGACCAGTTAGAAATATAGAAAAATATATATTTTGCCGTGAAATTGTTACTCATTTTATAATGTATGCAAATTCAATATATTTTATAAAATTATGTCGACATTTAATTAAGTAAAAACACTGCTGACCAATTTAATGTTATTTCAAATTGATTTAAGCCGTAAAACTCTTCTTATTCTATATGGTCAGCAAATTTAACGCTCTTTCACATTCAGGCGAGAAAATGCTGACCAGTTAAACATATAGTAGAATCTGCTGACCAGTTAGATATATAGGGAAACTGCTGACCAGTTAGATATATAGAGAAAAATATATATTGCCGTGAAATTGTTACTCATTTTATAATGTATGCAAATTCAATATACTTTATAAAATTATGTCGACATTTAATTAAGTAAAAACACTGCTGACCAATTTAATGTTATTTCAAATTGATTTAAGCCGTAAAACTCTTCTTATTCTATATGGTTAGCAAATTTAACGCTCTTTACATTCAGGCGAGAAAATGCTGACCAGTTAAACATATACACATGTAGTAGAATCTGCTGACCAGTTAGATATATAGGGAAACTGCTGACCAGTTAGAAATATAGAAAAAAATATATTTTGTCGTGAAATTTTAATTCATTTTATAATGTACGAAATTCAATATATTGTATAAAATTTTGTCGACATTTAATTAAGTTAAAACACTGCTGACTTATTTAATATTAATTCAAATTGCAATTATTGCTTTTGAAAATACATTTTTTTTCCGTTACAAGATTTTTCTATTGAAATATCACTAACAAGAGATTTTGATAAAACTCATAACATCATAATTCTTTATAAAACATTAATTCAAATTTTTGCATATCTTTAGAGGTATTAAAAGCTGTTTAATATATCCTTTTAAAATCACGGATTTATATTACATGTAGTAATGTAAAAGTAAAAGAACAAAAGTAATTTCCCATCTTTTTATTACCCCCTACGGCGTGTTTATATAACTTCACACCTTCAATGTTTCCCTTCTTTGTGTAACTGGTCAGCATTTTCCGATAATCCTTCTTTATTTAACTGATCAGCAGTTTCCTATATATCTATATCGTCAGCTAATTCGTCAGCAGTTTAGTGCGACCCCTTCCATGATCGCACCGTTTGTCGGTGAGTTAGTAAATTCTGACCAAGCACCGGTAGACGCACGACAATGCGATACGATATTATTCCAAATGTCGCTTCGCATTGTCGAGTGTCGCTTCGCGTTGTCGAGTATCGCTTCGCGTTGTCGAGTGTCGCTTCGCATTGTCGAGTGTCGCTTCGCAATGTTGAGCGTCGCGGTGTAAAAATCATAAAAATAACGCGACATTTACTCGACATTTTAAAAATGTCGCTTCGCGATGTCGAGTGTCACTTCGCATTGTCGAGCGTCGTATCGCATTGTCGCGTTGTCGTTTCGCATTGTCGAGTGTCGTGGTATGCACTTCTACCAACCTCGACACTCGACAATGCGAAGTGACAATGCGACAACGCGAAGTGACATCGCGACAACGCGAAGTGACATCGCGACAACGCGAAGCGACGCTCGACAATGCGAAGCGACACTCGACAACGCGAAGCGACATTTCTTAAATGTCGCCCTTTTTTACCGCGACATTTCTAGGCGACAGTGCGACATATCGTTTGACACTGTCGAGCGTCGCTTCGCA